GGTAGTGGTAGTGGTAGTGGTAGTGGTAGTGGTAGTGGTAGTGGTAGCAGTAGTAGTAGTAGTAGTAGTAGTAGTAGTAGTAAAGTAGTCAGTAGTAGTAAAGTAGTCAGTAGTAGTGGTCATTCTGTCGTAGTGGTCATTCTGACTGAAATGCGGATGTCGTTCAGAGGCCTTTTTTCGCCGAGAAATCTGGCTAAATACTGTCCATCGAAAGTGAGCAGCAGCAGGAGCAGCAGGAGAAGGAGCAGGAGCAGCACCAGCAGCAGCACCAGCAGCAGCAGGAGCACCAGCAGCAGCAGGAGCAGCAGGAGGAGCAGGAGGAGCAGGAGCAGCAGAGGGAGCAGGAGCAGCAGGAGGAGCAGGAGCAACAGCAGGAGCAACAGCAGGAGCAGGAGGAGCAACAGGAGCAAGAGCAGCAGCAGCAGCAAATACATGATGTACGCAGTTAAGGACATCGTTCCAATGTCGTTTTGGATGTCGTCCGGAGGGTCGTTCCCCAACTAAATAACACATTCCACAAAGACAGAAAACATCGGAAATAGCTGCGGCGGTGCGTGGAATTCTGAACGAAGATCCCACAAGACTACTTTACATCAATCCACCTTTTTTTCTGGCTCAAATGACTAACACCAAAATGCGAACGAGGAATGAAAGGATGCGATTAGATCTATTGCAAAGGATGAAACTTGTTGGACCTCATTCAGTTGTAGGTCTGCCAGGTCGCAGCTTCAGCCTCCCAGGTCTCTGGTGTCTCCCCCGACTTCCGCACCTCAACCGGTGGAATGTTCTCTGCGGAAGCGCTCCAGGTGACTGCGGAGAAATTGGGTGTCCTCGTGGTCAGGGCCATGCAGCTCCTGCGCAGCGTGTCGGTGGAGGCTCTCTGTGGCTGAGGGTGAGGTCTCAAGGATCTCAAAGTGTCTCAACGGGTCCGGGCTGCGGAAAAACGAGATGATGCTGGCGCGATGTCCCAACCGGGAGATCAGAAGATCTGCATCAAAAATGATCTCTCCAAGTGAGCCCAAGATCCATGTTGATCAATTGGACCTTAGACCTGTTTATATATCTTTAACTGAACCCGCCCATTAGAGTCGTCGAGCTTCCAGCCTTGTAACCCTTCAAAGCTCTAAGATAGAGCTCTTCTGCCTGGACAAGCCGGCCCGAAGTGATTGGCCATGAGGCAATCATGAACATCTTGCCATCTTGGCAAAGCGAAAATGAGAAAGGTCCAATTGAATTAGTTGGTAGATGGCCATGGCCAAAGAACATGTTTTGAAGAGCAGGTCTTGCCGACCCTCCACCGAGTGGATGTGAAACGACCATGATATCATGGTCACATCCGTGGGTCAGCAATGTCCCTACAATGTGCACCTTGACGGGGCGACCACTGAGGTGAGCAGAAAGAAAGGCAAGTGAAAAACCTGGATGAACAAAACAGAAACATCAAAATCTTCATGAATCATGAACCTTTTGACATCCAACAGTCCTCATTCTCCCACATCTTCTTTCATGCCAAGAGGCATCTCAAACATCAAGAAAAATGACGACGCCTTCAAATACCCCTCCAAAAGGATCCCAAAACCTAAAACATTGCCAAATGATGGCGAACACGACTTAACATCTTAATTTCATTCCAACAAAAATTGAAAAACACACAAAAAAACATTGGATAAAGACCTCCAGAGAAAGAACTGTCTTTGATTTCCAGCACTAAAACACTAAAACTAAAAGTAATTAAAAGATATCAAAAGTATCTCATAAAAATAACGACTTCTCAGAAACCACATCCAAAAGAATCCAAAAAGTACTAAAACAGTGCCAAATGTTGCCCAAAACATCCAAACTGACAAAACATCCATGTTATCCCTTAAGGCATTGCAACCAAAAAAACTGCAAAACACATCAAACAACAGATGGCAAAGACCTCAAAAAAAAGGACTTGTTCGTTCATTTCCACCACTTTCTTCGGTTCCGCTTCTTCGGCCTTTCCCGAAGACCGACCTCTCACGGCTCCCCCGACCTCGGCTCCACGGCTCCACGGCTCGAAGCGACCGCTCTCCGCGCCTCGGCCAGGTGGCCGCCCTTCGCCTCCAAAAGGTCGGCGAGATTGAAGACGGTCGTCAGAGTGCTCGGATGACGGGCTCCCAGTTGTGCTTCAAAGCCTGCTAAAGCCCTTCTGTAAAGGACTTCGGAGTCCTCGAGCTTGCCCTGCTCCTTCAGCAACCCCGCAAGGTTGTTGACCGACGTCAATGTGCTCGGATGATTTGCTCCCAGTTGAGTTTCACGGGCTGCCAGCACTCTTCTGTGAAGAGCTTCGGCCTCTTCGAGTTTGCCCTGCTTCTGCAGCAACAACGCAAGATTGTTGACGGCCCTCAATGTCTCAGGATGATGCGCCCCCAGCTGTGTCTCCCAACCTCCTAAAGCTCTTCTCGAAAGCGGCTCGGCTTCTTCGCGCTTGCCCTGGTTCTCCAGCAACACTGAGAGGTTATTGACGGACTGCAATGTGTCCGGATGCAAAGGCCCTAGCAGCGTCTCACGGCCTTCCAAAGCTTTCCTGCAAAGCAGCTCACCCTCTTCCAGTTTCCCTTGATTCGTCAAGACTACCCCGAGATCGTTCACCGAGTCCAGGGTCTCTGCATGCATCTCTCCCAGCACACGTTCACGTCCGATCACAGCTCTTCTGCACAAAGTCTCAGCCTCCGCCAGGTTCCCTGCGCAATACATCGTCTCCACCAGTTTCTGCACCTCTCTGAGGGTCGCCGCTTCGCTGATTGCCAGGGCTTGCCGCTGCAGCGGCTCCGCCTCGGCATAGTCACCGCGCGCCGTCAGCACGTTCGCCAACCTCGGGGCGAGGGGGGGGGCGCAAGGGCCGAAGTCTCGGAGTTTTACTCCCGTTTCACAACGGTTTTTCATGTACGGAAGAATTCGAGATTGAACGAAGACTTTCTTGTGTCTTCAGTTCGACTTATTGTTGGAAATTGAGATCCACTATCTGCTTTAGTTCATTATTTCGGTTATATAATACATTACATTGTCTGGTTGGTGAAAAGACCAAGGCCCCAGCCGGCTCGATGCCTTGAGGGTTTCAAAATGCTCTGATCCCAGTCTCTCTTCGATAGCTTTGGCGCGGCAGCGGACCCTTGGCTAGAGAAAATCTCAGAGAAAAACTGGGTTGAACGTTGGGCTACGGCTTGCTCTGTCCAGAATGCAAAGCTTGGCAGTGGTCGGAACTCCTTGCAATTCATGTTTTTGGAACCCTCACTCAAACAGTCTCAGCATACAAATTTCTAGATTTTGTGCTGTACCATTTAATGCAAGGGTTCACTGCTAAGCTACATCAAAATTTCTAAAGTTCAAGGAGTGCCATGAAGCCTTGTGACTGGTTTCTCATCGCAAACAAGCATCGCTTCCATCAGCACTGCTCTGGCATTGCCAACCTCCTCCTCCGTTTCCACTCGAATGACGAAACACTGTCGAGGCGGCATTCCATCTTCGTTGAGCGGCATTCCAGCTAAATTCCTCGGCAGAAATTAGCCCATTCCCCAGGCAATTTAAGGCTTAACATCGGTCCAAAATCACGCAGTCACATCTAGGAGATGCAAACTAGGTGTCCGGCACACCAACGGGCTTCCCCTGTCAAAACAGGACTGGTGACAAGCAAAAGTATTCTTGCACCCTTCCAAAACAAAACTTGAGCTGCCCGAAAACGTACACAACTGGCGGTTGGAACCCGCCCCGCTCCACTTCGCCTGCTTGACCATTTCAGGCGTTCGTCTCTTCGACACATCATAGGCCACGGATGCATTGACGAGTATAGGGATGCAGAAGGACACCCGGGATCTGTATTCCTCCGATACAAGATTTGAAGAGGCATCTGCTGGTCAAAGACTCAATGACTGGTATTCATATAAACACTCCGCAGCAAAAGGATATCATCAAGGAACAACCGGGAGCTCTCCTTCACAGCTGCCTCACGACCCTTCAAGTCAATGTCTCGCTTGAGCATCCTCCTATAGTTGTTATCAAGCAGTCTTTCGAGATTGGGCCACTCATCTGGGGGCTTCTGTACGGAGTAAACTCCTGGCAAGTGCAAGTCTCTCGTACAAGTGTTCGTGTGAGTGAGTGCACCTCCACAGTTCCTTCATGTTCCTTCTCTGCTCTTCACTTTTGCATGAACTGTGAGAAACTCTATGTTCACTTTCTGGTATGCATTCCTGATCAGATCAAGTTTGTTGTTTCAAAGGCAATCGGCAAGTAAACAGTCCTGCCCCCCACCAAGCGTTGGCCTTCTCACCGGTCGTTATCAGAGAAGCCTGCGGATATGCAAACGCCAGGAGCTGACCAAAAGGAATGCCTGAAATCAAAGACATGGACTTTTACATAAGCTTCATGAATGCTGAGGGCATCGCGAAGAGTTCCACCACTGACTTTGCGGGATCTGTGATGTTTCTAAAGCCAAGCTCATTGGTATAGTGGAAGAAACACTGCACATCGCTGGCATCGCTAGCTTGAGTCAGGTCAAGGGCATCCTGCCAGACCTGAGAGAAACTTCTGTGTCTTCGTATCTCAGCAGGTGTGCAATGTGTGTGTGTGTGTGTCAAACAAGAACAAATGCCACGCAAGAAGTGTACATGCATGTTTCATAATTTTCCCATGGCACCTTCACATCCAGTCCGGTGTGGACCCAGCACCAGTCTTTCGGGTCATGCCGGTACTCTTCATGATCGAACACACAGCCTTGCTTGTAGCTTTTCTCAAAATAATCTTTCAGACTGGCCTGGGGCAGGGCAGTGAGCCACTTTCGCAAAAGAGTTGCAAGAAGACTGACTGGACTTCTGCGTACTCTTGAAAGCCTTGAAAGCCCACTGAGTTTTGAAGTCACACTCCCACGATCGCCGCAGCGGCACACTATCAGCGATGCTTGCAACAAGACCATAAAGGGTGGGGTAAGTGTAGTTGGCTCAAGTAGATTCGAATGTCAGGCAAGGAATTGCACAAATTAGAGCTCGCTTGAAACTCAGAAGATTCCGAAGCATCGACAACGCTTGAAGTCCCAGAATTTGAGCCCCAGCCTTGGAAAGTTTAGGCACCTTGCACGAAAACGTGCGCACTTTGTACGGTATCTGTATGCTCTTCAAGATCTAAACAAAGTGTGTGTGTGTGGGCGATGAAACTGGCTGCAGTCGAATCTAAAAGTTGGTGTTGGCATCTCTGTGTGCATGTGTCGTGAGAACTGCTCATCAACACACCTTGTGAAATATCTATAAGCTAAGCAAAACAATCGTCCCCATTAGCTAACGGAGCAAATGGAAGAAAAAACACAAGCGGAAAACAAGCGGCCTGAGAGGAGGCGCCGGTCTCGGCTTCGGTCCGCTGCTCCTGGGCTCTCGGTCTTGCCAAACGAGGTTTCGGTGCACCTTTTGTCTCAAGGAAGAACAGCCGAGGTAGACCCAAAGGAGAACTCCAAACCAGGCAGCAAACCAACCGTTTCGAGTGACTACGGACCCGGTATGAAAATAGTACATATATGTAAGATGTATGACGTATCTTTCCAAGCCAAACTCTTGATCCGCTTCGCACCCGATCCGCGTGTTTTCAACTCCCCACAGGGAACGCAGGCAGATCGGTGGAATGTCTGATGCCAACACGCTTCCGGCGGATCACGGTGGATCTCGGAAAAGCTGCAGTTGTTCGGTACTCTACACCCTACAGCAAGGCGCTGTCAACATGAGCCACCGGTACTTTGAAAATGGCATGTCAACACTTGTTGAGATATCTGATGGTCCCTGCCTTGGTCTCTTTTTGAGCTTCCTTTGGCCTGCTCAGTTGTTCCTTCCGCACCTGTCAATTGAATGTACAATTTTCGGTAGAATATGTCCAGATTGTCACTGCACATGTTTGCAGCCATGTCTAGCCAGGTCAGACATTGGACCTCAAGAAATGAAAACACCCAGGCATGAAAGGGCGACAAAAGGTGCAGAACTAAGAAGGCGAGGAACCTACAATATGTAGCAACTACCTAGCAGTTGAGTGCGAGCCAAAAGTCGTCTGGACAATTTCAGACAAATTCATCGGTTGGTGGTTGTAAACAGGTCAAATCATTAGAGTCAGGAAATAGCAAACACAACCATTCACCAATCACTTCAGGCTGCTTCCAGCGAGGCACCATAGAACAACATGCCGGAAGGAAAGGGCAAAAGGTAGGCAACAAGTAGCTGCAACATGCTGCAGCACAGGTCAGACTTTGTCTCATGCTTGGAACAAGCCAAGGGAATGTATGAATACTAAAATACAAGCAAACTACACAAAACCCTTGTGGCAAATACGCTAGTGCCCCTGTCTTCGCCTTAACCTCCTTTCCATTGCTGGACGAGCTCGGCTCCTCATTCTGCGCCTGGCGGAAAACGAACGGCTTCAAGAGTTAGGGGAAAAGCTGCTTGTCTTGATGTTCAATGTTCAAGCTCCATTTCCATACGGCTCATGTGGACGTGTTGCTGCGCTGGATGCCACCCGCTAGAAACAAACTGAGACTTTACCTGCAGGCGACGGACACGATGCCACGTCGGACAGACCAACGAATGTGGAGTGTAGATCATTGGCAGCTCAAATACGTCCTTTTGCTCACCAGCTCTCGTGAACGCTATAAGCGCACGCAGGAACTCCCTTTGCGACACCTCAAATGTTGAAGGCTTCTTCACATCCCTCCCTTCTCTCACACGGCTTTCAGCTTTGTGTACCTTACCGGGCATTCACCAGAGTCAATAAATAAAGGCATCTGGTGTTGCGACGCAATATCATCAAATATCAATACTGGGCAGTGAGGCAAAGAAAACTATCAAGGACAGTCTGTTGACGTTACCCTGAACCTGAGAGCGTGTGCATGAAGAGCAAGCACCACACGCTGTTAAGAATTGCCCCTCACCTTCATGCATGTTCTTGCTTGTTTAGCACGTTTGTGTACAGTCTTTGAGCAGTGAAAAAAAAGAACATCTTTCATAGCGGTGTGTATTGCTGGTCGAGTCAACTCCAACAACCTTAGCTTGCAACAACATGTGTAGTATATTACTTAAGTAGGAGAAAGAAAACAACGTTTACTGTGTTCGAACAAATGCTCTTTAGGATGCCCATGAACACAAACATGCTGAAGTATTGCACAAAGCATGAAAATCACTGGAACAACAAGTCTTAAAGCACCACGCATACAGCAGAAGACAGAGAATGGTGCACCCTGCAAGTCGCTTGTTGAAGAGAATCACTGCAGTCCACCATAGGAGAGATTCGCGCGGCCGTTTTGTGGCCAGATTCCAGAAAACAACCAGGCAGATCCGCTGATCACAAGCATGCAGCAAAGGCATTCTATAATATTCTATATTATATAGTTATCTTTATATATACCTATAAGCTCTTTGAATCTCATCCGATCATTTAGAAATTGCAAAAGTCGGATTCTGGCCCGTGGTGGATGCTTTTCTGCTGCAAAAAATGAATCTCCCAAGAAGTGCACCTCGGAGGTGAAGAGGATATCCAAGAAGTCTTTCACGCCTCAAGACTTGATTGGTTACACCAGCTGTCTTGTTGTGAGCGCTTTCAGCTGGGCGTCTCATCACTATTTGTTAGTCAGGGATTCTCCTTGTGACTACTCTTGCCCATCCCTGCCAAGCTGCGAATCTGTGAGTCTTCTGGGTAGTCCTGCTGATCGGTGTCAGGGGTGCACACAGTGGCAAGCCAAACAATGCAGAGGAGACCAACCTAGGGCCCTAGGGCGAGATGTGATGAGTTTACATATACTCAACAATCCTTCCGGTTCCTCCCACAGATATGTGAAAATCTCCTGCAGAAGGACATGGGCCTCCTGCAATGTGCCACAAATATCTTGAATAATTTCGATGTATCCTTAGGCTTGGACAGCTGATGGACTGTCGATTGGTTTCCAAATTAATTTGATGAAACAGAACTTCTTGAACACTCGCCACCAGGCCAAACAAAATCTAAGTCAGCTGCTAGTAACGCCAAAGAGCAGAGTCAAAAAAAGAACAGTGATAGAATATCAACATCGACTCCTCCCGAAAGCACTCGAGTTCTACACCCCAAATCAGAATCCAGCCATGCTTGGCCCAAGCTCACAGCTCCGACGCAACCTTGAAATGTCTCCCCAAAACCGAGGAGCTTTGCCGTTCCAGCGAAAGGCCATCGCCGCCACCTCCACGTGCCATCGCCTCGAAGATTGCTTCCACCTGCCCACGCAACTCCTCGGCGCAGCCGCGGAGGATGGGACGAAACGGCCGGATCTGAAGACAGCGAGCTTGAGGACGTTGGTTTTAGGATCTCCTTGGGATCCCAAAAGCAAATCAAAACGGGAAGTTGCAAGGTGCAGTCTTGAAGTGTTTGAGGCTTTTGAAAGGGGTTTGAGCTTTTTGCAAAACATGACCCTCTCTTGAGCTTGTGACCAAGTGGCAAACATGCTTTCCAAAACCCACCCAGCACTTCTGCCTGCAAGGCAAAAGCTAAATGTTCAACTAAGTGAAATTGGACACTTGAGCAGGTACTAGCAGTATAATGAAAACCCTAACTGGTTCAAAGTACAGTAACAGCCGCAAATCTGCGAATCTTTGTGGAAGTATTCCCTTCGCACAGCTGCAAAGGCAGTGAAGAGCCGGGCATTCCGAGGACATTCCGAAACGAAGGAAGAAGGCCTTGTGGGCCAGTCTTTCCAATGTGAACATCATGTGGGTTGACAAAGATTGAAAAGTCAATTGTACAGAGAGTTCGTAGTAGCCAGGGACTTTTCGTTGTCTCAAGCAAGGCTGGTCTCGGCTAGAGTGCCATGATACGGGTCGGAAGCTTCGAAGCTCGTAGAAACCACATGTTGTCAGCAACATGATGTATGAACCTCCGCTCCTGCTTGAAAAAATGTTAATAACAGCGAATAACAATAACAAGGTACCTGTCGTGTACTCGTCTCAAACTCCACCTCTATGAACGCCACAACCGTCAAGTGAGGAACATCTCCCAAGTCCCACACCGAGCCTGAGCGGTTCTGAGCGCCTCGTCGCGCCACACCTCCGATCGCCGAGCCTGGGCGGGTGGAATCTGTCCCAAGACGAAGATCGTGGGCGGTTTGTAAGCACGATTCATGGCGCAAAGGGCCACCTGCTCAGCCATTCCGCCATACCTCTCCCAAATGCCAAAGGACCCAAACTTATATAACAACGTGAAGATCAACAGCACAACACCTGGTAAATTTGCAAGACCACAAGAGCCCACAAGCTCTTTCCGCAGTTGAGCCCCTTGCCATTCTGGGAGAGTGCATCGGACGCTTCAGCTGCCTTGCAACCGCGCACGCACTGGGTGGAATGTGCTGGAAATATCCATTGGGCAACCAACCAGTGTTTCCTTTCTCACACTACCTTCAACCTTCCTACTGACAATGATAAAAACAGGGATAAACCGGACTCAGCCTATCAAGAGCCTTCTGAGACAATCTCATGTGCTGCTCTCATGTCATGAATCCCAACACGGCCCAGCCGCGCCTTGCCGGCGACCACCGCGGTGAAGTCGCCGCCCGGCCGCGCCGAGCCGCCACTGCCCATGGCCTCGGCGCGACACACGCGTCGCGGTCGCGTCGGTCGGTGGGGACGGGGCCAAAGGGTCACACAGGGCCAAGGAATGTGTGAACAGAAACATCCTCATTCAGGCATGCTGTATATCCCATAGCTTGAATGTTGTCATTTGTGGATATTTTGGGGTACCTGATCTCTCTTTCAGCTTTGGTTTGATCATCTTGGGCTTGTCTCAGTTCTCCCAACCACGTAACACTGGAGGGTCAGAAAGATCAGGAGAAGAAAGGATGCCAAGGACCAAAGGATGGCAGGTGAAGCACGGTGAAGCACCTCATCCTTGGATTTCTTTCTTTCCAGGATGAGTGATCTGACATGATCCGACCGCCGCGTCCGGTTTGTCATGTCGAAAAACCATCATTGGATGTCTTTCTTTCCAGTGGCCAGTGCAAACTGGACATGAAGATAGAATCTTTCCAGTAGCCAGGAAAAAGTTCGCGAATGCTCTGGCGGGGGACCAGGGAAAATGCCTCACTCTTCAGTTCCATGCCTGGAGCGCTGACGTTAAGATTCGGAAGTCGGCTTGGCCGGAAGTCGGATCAGGTTAAAGACATATGGCTGTGGGTCATGGCACCAGTTGAACGACCCATCCCCATATCTGACACATCCGATACGTGACCCGTGGAAGGGGTCTGTCAACATCATCTGGCCCAGCAACACGGCGCAGAATGTGGCGCAGAGCTCCCAATCGCTGTGTTGAGCGTTTTCGCGATGAACAAACCGGGGATCCTAAAGATATACTGTACACGGAGTTCTTGCCTCTTCGTCTGAAGGGCCAAAGAAAAGAAGACTATTGCAATCTCTTGGGGTACAAAATGGCACACTCGCAGGAACTGCATTTGAATTCAAAAAAGAACTTTTTCGGTGGTCTCATCCCTACGCATGTACTTTCAGATGCCACTTCAAATCCAAGGTGGTAAGCTCTTAGTGTTTTGCTGTACAGAGGTGAAAAGTCTCTGTAGGTTCCCCTGCTGGATGTTTGGTTTGTTGTGACGACTGGATTTGACTCTTTAGGAAGTGAAACGACTCGCTTCTTGACACAATGAATGTACCAAGATTGAGACTCACTTGAAGATGCGAATCAGCCACTTTGTTGGCCTTTAGCCCATTCCAGTGATTTGATCTATGGTCATGAGTCATAGTGGTCATCCGAATCCTCGATGACACTGTAAACTGTTTCTTACCACATTCCTTAACTGGCTTTCAGCCTGAGTCTATCCTGCCAAAGCTGTAGCTGCTGAGTTTGACAACTTGGCTTGAGCCTTGCTGCTTGACAGCACGAGAGCACTTGCAAGTCACCCCCAGTCTGCCTGAAGTCCAAAGAAACCCTTCACGAAGACTGAACAGGCAATGTAACTTCCTTTTGGACAATAAACAAATCATATGAGGGCGGCTGATAATTTGGTGCTTGAAAATCTGCATTGGAAAAGAACTGGTAGACCAATACTTTTGGTGCCCTGCTTAGAGTGGTGATTTTTCAGAGGGCAGTTGCGAAGTCTAAAAGGAACTCTCTATAAACATACATAAACCAACCTGTTCCGTTTCAAAGCATGACACGCGATACAAAGAACACATTGCTTCGCGCAAACTTCTTTGCACTCAATGTTGGGAATCCAGCGGTTGTTGCATATTTGCTGCGATACTCGGATCTTCTGCAGGTCCCAGAGTTGAGCACCATCGGGATGAAGCAGACTGAGTCGAAGTAGACTAAGTAGACCGTGCCTAGACACGCTTTTCGGATCTTTTCGCTGTCTTATCAAAGAAAAAAAAGGAGTGGAACCACCCTGTGCGTGTTCCACTCCACTCCACGCGTGTGTTCCACTCCACGACTCCCCAACTCCACAAGACAGGCGCCGACCTTCGTGTGTTCCGCGCCTGCCGACCCCTGGCATTCGTTGTTCGAATGACGATCCCATCAAGCGTCATGCCGCAAGGGATCCAAAAGGAACTCCATCAATAGTCAAGACATGTCAAACCTTTCCCTGTTCCAACAGAGGTTGAAGAACCCTATAGACTATCCCATACGTACCTCAGTAGGGTGCTATAAGGTCACTTAACCTCTCTTGGTTGAACCAGCTTTCATCAACATACTCAACACAACATGTGAGGAATCCGTTGAATACTGGAAAACCTCTAGAATTTGTTGAGTCATCAGAAACATGTGACACACTTGCATGCACTAAGACTGAACACTGCAAACATGTAACAGAACACTCCTTCAAAAGGCCCATGTTTTTCCCACCTCTCAATCGTTCATCACGCAGGTCATGCCGAAAAAAAGAGCACCAAAGAACAGCTCGACAGCCCAACGTCCCGAGCATCCGAGCACCCTCGGAGCACGAGCAGAGATGTCCAAGGTCACCACCCCCACAACCAGCCTCGAATCAGTCATTGGTCATGATTGGTCAATAGATGTAGACCCTTGATCAATAGACCGGCCCATTGGAATGGAACAAACCCCTCTTCATCTGAGGGTTGTTTTTTATTCATCTAAGAGCTTTGTCATACCCTTGTTTAATCCCAAAGGATTATCATACTCTTCTTGAATCCCATCAAGAGCTTTGTTGCTATTTATCGTTTCCTTGTCATGAATCCCATGAATCCCATTTTGGCGTCAGGCTAAGCCGCCACCGATCGGTCATCCACGTCCGGCCACAGAGAGCGTGCCGGAGGAGGTGGTACCGTGCCCTTCAGGAGAGGGGACATCCAGCGTTCCTGACGCGAATCAAGCGGAAGAGCTCCAGCAGCGTGCGGCTCTGGCGTGTGTTCGGGTGGTCAGGCCCATGAAGCTCCTGGAGGGAACGTTGAGGAAAAAAACCCGTGATCCCTTGTTCCGTTATCTGAGAGAACGTCTCTCTGGTTGGCTCAAGGCACCTTGCATGGAAAAAGGCACCTTGCATGAAACCAAAACCCTCTTTGCAGCTGCTTGAGGAACTGACCTCTCAAACGACTTCGCAACCATGTCTCGGATGGACATTAAGGTATGGGATGCTGGGATGCCAACGTCCATCTTCATTTACACTCCATTGCCAGTTGAGCAAAAACATACGGCAACTCGACGGCCTGGGATGATGATCGAGGATGTATGTATATATATATATATATGTATATATATATATCCACCGACCCTGGCCTAGCCGATGCCTAGGCGGAGCGGCACCCGGGACAGCGCAGCGAGAAGCCTTGGCCAATGACCTGTGCTACGACTCCTGAGCCTCTCTTTTCCAATGACCTGTGCTACGACTCCTGGGCCTATCTTTTGACGGCGCAGCAAGATGACCTGGGTCTTGCAGGTTCCACAGCGCAGCCGTGCCCAATGACCTGCGCTACGATTCCGGGGCCTATCTTGTCACGGGCCTTGCAGGTTCCGGATACCTGTCCCCCTATAGCCATCACCTGCTATGCGGCCCCGCGCCTCTTTTTCTATAGGATTCCAAAAGCAACGTTAAACAACCTGGCTGTTGCCGTCTGGCGCCCTTTCCGACCGCTGTTGCGCGCAGAAGTAGATGGTGTCGTTTGCCCGCCCT